TAATTATCTTTTACAAATGAGATGCAAGAAGAAGAACCAATACACAGTAATTAGATGGGGGAGGGAGGCTGTTAGTTCTGGAAACCTACTCTTGTCGGAAATGTGTCTAAGAGGGGAAAATACATACACATTTAGAAGAGTATAAAAATCTTGTAAATTTAGAAAGAAAACTCTAAAGGGATAGGGAGGGGGGAGAGGATAAAGGAGGGATCTTTAGAAGGGAAGGTGTGGGAGGTTAAAAGGGGATATAGAAGGGGGTTTAGATTTAGGGCAATGGAAGGATAAGGGAGGGATTGCTGGAGTGGGGTAGGTTAAGTAATAGGAGGGTAAGGTAGCAGATAGAAGTAAAGTAGAGGAGTTAGGAGAGAGAGGAAAAAAGAGATGCACAAAAATAAATACAAAGATTAGGAGTAGAATCTCTTAGGGAAAGTCTATGTTTATATATGTACGTATGTATATATGTACAAATGTATGCATATATCAACCTTGGGGAGGGGGAAGAAGAACAAAGTAAAAAGTGTACAGCAGAGAACAAAAGAAAACCTACAAGGAAGCAAAGAAAAGATGGACAGCTCTCAACATAATGCACAGTATTTAATACGTAGGCTTTCTTGAAATGAAAAGTTATTGCTATATATTTTGAATCCTCTCCTATGTTCTACTGTGCACATGACATTTTTTCTTACTTTATATTTAAGTTTATAATGTTTCTTTTCCTTTTCTTATTATGTGTTTAAGTTTTAGTATTTGTCTAAAATAAAAATTAAAAAAAAAAAAAGAAAGATCTGTGCTGTGCCCTGGGTCTAGCTTTCTTTTTCCCGAAGAGGCTTCTGTGCAGGGCAGGTGACATTTCCTCTTGTGAGGCACCTGCTCTGTCCCCGACTTGGGAAAGAGCTTCTGAATGTGAAGCAGGTGCTCAAACCCATTCCTTGGTGAATGGTGCCCGGGAGCTCCCGGGGTAGTCTGGGAGAGGGTGAACATGATGTTCACATTCCTCAGGAGCTCCGTGTGGACCTGCTTCCTCTTCCATGCTAAGACCTACTTTATTCATCAGTTTTGAATGGAGCAAGTGCATTTAGGAGTCAAGGGCCTGGATTTGGAGTCAGGGAGACCTGAATTCAAATCCTGCCTCAGATACTTAGTAGCTTGTGACTCTGGACAAGCCACTTAACCTCTGTCTGCCTGTTTCCTCATCTGTAAAATGGAGATAATAGTATCACCTATCTCTCAGGGTTGTTGTGTAAAAACACTGCTCAAACCTTGAAACATTGTAAAGGCAGCTGGGAGGAGCAGTGCTGGAGACTGTTGGCCCTCAGGCACTGACCAGCGGGGGGACCCTGGAGAAATCATTTTACTGCCGTCTGCCTCAGTTTCCTCAACTGTAAAATGGAAATCATAATAGCACCTTCCTCCCAAAGTTGTCATGAGGATAAATGAGATAACGTTTGTAAAGTGCTTTGTGAGCCTTAAAGAGCTATAGAAATGCTAGTAATAGTAATAGTACTATTATTTGAACATTTTATAAAATAATGTTTACATAATTTATATTTTTATGTTTACATAATAATATATTCAAATGTATTATTTATATAAATGATAATAATATTGCTGGCTGTTTCCTCCCTCTGTCCTTTACCACTTCCACCTGTAAGCTTTCTGTCTGTTTACCAGGTAGCTGTGTTGTAAGACAGAGTTTTCCTCGAGTATTTAGAGGTCCGTAGAAGAAAGGGGACATAGTTAAGTCTTGTCAGTAATAGCTTAAGTGGTTCCAGCTGAGAAGGAGAGACTGTTGTCTTTGCTGCTCACCTCCAGTGACTCAAGAGATGTCATCCCCTCAGATGCCTGTAATGAGGAAGGCCCTGCACTGCATCACACAGAAGTAATGGCCCTTGTTAGGCTCTGAGATGTCTTGTCACTTCTTCTGTCCTGAGCTCCCCTCCTCTTGTCTTCATCCCTTTACAGCTATATGCTATATAGAGGGTCCATTTCTTCATTTTATCATGTATTTTTTGGGCCATGTTACTAACCATAATTAAGACTGCAGTGATTTGGTGAGGAACTGTTAGCAGTATGGAGAGGAGAGAGTGCTAAGATTGCTTCTGCCTGCCCACTCTATTCAGTTTTTCTAGGACAGCCAGGTGGTGCTGTGGACAGAGTGCTGGGCCTGGAGTCAGGAAGACTCATCTTCCTAAGTTCAAACCTGGCCTCAGATGCTTACCAGCTGCATGATCCTGAGCAAGTCACTTTGCCCTGTTTGCCTCAGTTTTCTCATCTGTAAAATGAGCTGGAGAAGGAAATGGCAAACCACCCAGTATCTTTGCCAAGAAAACCCCAAATGGGGTCCTGGAGAGTTGGACACGACTGAAATCACTGAACAACAACATTAGTACCTACAAACCATCCTTCAAGCTAGAGTTCCAGCCTTCTCTATGAAGCCTACCCTGATCCCCCCTCCCCCCCACACACACCCTTTCAATCTGGGCCCAACACCTGACTTTTTGATGTCCGAGGATCAGCCTAACTCAGCTAGGCAAAATTCATCACCATTGAATGTGCTGTCTAGAGATATGTTACGAAGGCCGTCTGCTGAGATGTCGGAGCTTTGGGGCCCTGACTCTGAAAGGAGGACCTCCCTTGCTGCTGCATGGTCCTTGTGTTGGTGATGGCAAGTGAGGGAGTGGAGTACAGTGCCTGATTTAGAGTATCACCGTCCACATGCAGAGCTGGCTGGCTGCTAACATTAGGAGGATCAGGACCCGCTGTGAACCAGGGGGTTGTAGCAGTCCTGCAGCCAACAGCTGATATCCCTTAATCAGAACAGCTCACATTTACACAGTCCTTTAAAAAAGTTTATGAAACACTTTCCACAAAACCGCTCTGGAAGGTGGGTAATATCAGTGTTGCTAACCTAGGAGTTCTAGACTTCCAGCCCAGATGGCTGCCTCGAATGACCACACAGCCCCCATATACCGAATAATGATCAAGATATCCAATGAGGAAGCTTAGTGAGTGACTCTTCCACTCTGAATCTACACAAAAAGTCAGCCTGAAGCTCATGGGCAATAGGGAAGGGAGTCCTCCAACAAAGCCAGCACCAGGGAGGGGTAACCTCCCAGCACAACCAAAGGTGGACAGAGGACACATGTGGCCTGCCAGGCTCTGCATCCCACGCAGCCAGACAGAATGCTGCCTTGAGAAAGCCCCAGGGTGGGAACCTTGGAAGACCTGGGGACCAGCAGTGACCAGTGAGTGCCTCATCGCTCAGACCAGGACAGGCCTAGGGTCTCTGAGCTTCCTGACATGGTGTCTACAGATACCAGGGAAGGTCCTGATGATCCTACACCTTGACACTCAGAGCCAGAGTGAGGCAGCCCCTGGGGGAAAAGGTCATAAGAACTCAGGGCACCCAAGGTGTGCTTGGGCCTGAGCACTGCACCCCCCCCCCCCAAGAAGTTCAGCGAAAATGCAGCTGGCCTGTATACGTTCTGGCCCAGTTAGTGGGCCCAGTCAGTCTGGTGGGGCCAGACTGTAGGGCTAGAGCTTTAAAGACAAATGGATTGGCTTCCCTTGGGCTTGGGGCATGAATTCTGGAAGGCCTAGGTGTCCAATCCTGTGTGGAGAGAGCTGTAGGTGACACTTGAGACCAAAGCTGGGTTTTCTGTGTTTTAAACACACCAAAGAAAATGGTTCTCTGGTTAGTGTCACAGCATTGGCCTGTTTACAACGGAGAGTGTTTGCAGCCATTCTGAAGGCCAGGGGGTGGTGATCAACTTGGGGAGAGCTCCAGGGTACTCCAAATTAGGGTTAGAGATATGGGCGTCTCCTCATCTCACACTAAGGTGCATGCATACTGCTTTGGGCCTCATTCTCCTAGATGCCTCTCCCCCCGATTTTTCCTCTTCACCCTCTGAATCTCAGAGCTGGAGAAACTTCCAAAGGACATCTAAGCCAACCTGTGTACCTTCTCTGTAGCATTCCCCAGAATGGCCATCCAGACAATCATAAAGTGGCAGGCTATGAAGTTCATTCAGCATCTGACAAACACACGTAAAGTGTGCATAGCCCGATACAGGATGCTGGGAGAGATGCAAAATGTAGATAAGACATAGCCCCTCACAGAGGTAGAGGGAAACCCAGACATAGATAATTATCATATATTGTATCACTTGGTAGGTATGTTAGAAAATTACAGAAGTGTGTAGTGGGAGGTCTGTGGGAAAAGCTGTTCCTAACCTTGGTGAAGGAGGGAATTGGAGAAGGCTTTGGAGGAGATGGATGTTAATGGATAAGTAGAAATTCAGTAGATAGAAGATGGGTGGGTGGGGCATTCCTGGTCTAGGGGTGGCTTGGTATGTGTTCCAACTCGCTCGCTTTAAGGTGAGGAAAATAAAGAGAAGTGACTTGCCTGTGGTCCCCTAGCTAGTAAAAAGGGGTGGAGAGCACATTTATTAAGCACCTACTGTGTGCCAGCACTGTGCTAAGTGCTCTGGGTACAAATAAAGGCAAAACTAGTCCCATCCCTCAGGGAGCTCACCGTATGTTGGGAAGACAACATGCAAACAACTAGATGCAAACAAGCTATAGACAGATAGAGATGCATTGGAGATAGTGAACAGAGGAAAGGTCCTAGCAGTGAGAGGGATCAGGAAAGTACCTGTAGAGAGGCAGGATTTAGGCTGAAGAAAGCCCGAGAGGCCAGATGGCAGGAGGAGGAGGAGAGCGTTCCAAGCATGGGGTCTCAAACCCTCGTCTTCTCAGGCCAAGTCTAGGGCTCTTTCCCCCAATGACATGCCTCTGGTTATCAAATCATTTCTGTCTGGGATGGGCTTGATCTCTGCACCATTTCATCATCCTGAGGATTACAGAGCTCTTTTGAATTAGGAGTGACTGAATATTCTAATAATATGACAGTAGAGACAACAGCTGAAGCCAGACTGCTGACCTTTTCTTTATGTCATCAGTTATTTTTATTTTAATTCTTTTGTAACATCCTTTTTCAGATCGTGCTCATCTTGGCAGCTACCAATCCAAGGACTATAAGGTGTGTAGAAAAGGTCAGAGAAGATACGATGAAAGCTGTGTGTCTATTCTGAGGGAGGGTGGGAATGTGTGGCCTTATCACATACACGCATACCGTAAGGATGGCAGTCGTGGAGGGCAAGAGAGGCTCTCTGTGAAGCCATGATTCAGCTCCTGTCCTCAGGCGGGGTGGTGACAGTTGTCACAGTGACAGTGACAGACGTCCCCCAACACTTCAGGGGCTCTCTCTGGGTCCCTTGGATTCTGATGATGGGTATCTGCATGGGATTGGCAGTGATGATGGCGGTTCAGCAGCTCTTGCATGCTTTCTTTTTGTTCTGCCTCTGATGAAGTGGAATCTTCTCAAATACAAGTGACGTATTTTTTTTTTATTAGGGGGAAGGGGAAAGAAAGAGAATAAGCTTTTATACAGTGCCTACTCTGTGCCAGGCACTGTGCCAAGCCCTTGACACATGTCTCTTTTGATCCTCACAATAATCTTGCGTGGTAGGTGCTATTATTATCCCCATTTTATAGTTGAGGAAAATGAGGCAAACTGAGTTTCAGTGGGGCTTGTCCAGAGTTACACAGCTAGTAAATTTCTGAGGCCAAATTTGAACTCAGGTCTTCTGGTCTCAGGCCCAGCCTGCTTCTTTCCAACTGTACCACTTAGCTGTAAGCTTCTTAGCCTTCTGTTCATTCATTCATTCATTTGTCCCAGAAGTGTTCATTGACCACTCAATTCTTCTTATTCTCATGATTATTGACCCTCTAGTATGGAAGTAAATGCTGGACTAAGTGGGCCAGAGAAGTGCTGAAGAATCACACAGCCAGGAACAGTTAGGGAAAACCTTCCCAAAGAGCTATGACTTGAGCCAGGTCCTGAGAGATTGGCCGGCCTCAGCTAGCCAGAGAGAAGGGGACAGTGCCCCTAAAAGTTTGGGGTTGGCAATGCCTGTGATGTGTTCAGAGGACAGGGAGATGCCAGGTCAGCCTGCAGTGAAGGGTTTTGGCTGGGGAATAAAGGAGCCATGATTTGCTGCCTACATGAACACGTTAGGTGTTTGTTGTCTTTTCCAAATCCTGCCCCTTTTGTCAGAAGTGCCTGGTGTTCCCAGAAACCTCAGCTCTTCCATCTTCCCTCTGCAGTGTCTGTATCTACCCTGTCACCAAGTCACATTCACCCTTCTCAGAATCACGCCCTCCTCCTTGACCCCATGGCCACCATCCTGTCTTACCCTCTGTGCTAGACCCTGGTCTAGCATAAAGTCGTAGATGTGGAGAGTTGGAAGTGGCCTCAGTTCATTCAATTTCTGCTTGAAGGCCTCCATTGATGGGGACCTCACTACCTCATTAGGTATCCCACTCCATTTGTTAGGAAGTGTTCCTTGGAGAGCCAAATTGTGTGTACTTACAATATTCTCCCATTTGCCGTAGTTCTTTCTTCTGGGACCAAGCAGAATAAGTCTGATGTTTGTGCTGCATAGGAGCCTTCAGTCCCTGAGGAGTTTTCTTGTTCTTCCTGAGTCTGCTCATTGCCAAATTAAATATCTTTTGTTGTTGTTGTTTATTTTTAACATTTGTTTTTCGAATATATCTTTATTTTGTTAAATATTTCCCAATTACATGTAAAAAATTTTACCATTTTTAAAATTTTGAGTTTTAAAGTCTTTCCCTCTCTCTCACCCCTGTCCTACTCCTCCTCCACCCTTGAGAAGGCCAGCAATATATGAGTTATATGTGTAAAATCATGCAAAACATTTCCATATTAGGCATATTACAAAGAATAATAAAAAGCAAGAAACTTAGAGTAAAAAAATTATGCTTCAGTCTGCACTCAGAGTTCATTACTTCTGTCTGTGGAGGTGGAAAGCATTTTTCATCCTGAGTCCTACGGAATTGTCTTGATTTCATTGTATTGTTGAGAACAGCTAAGTCATTCACAGCTGATCATCATACAATGTTGCTGTTACTGTGTACAGTGTTTTCCTGGTTCTACTCACTTCACTCAGTATCAGTTCATGTACGTCTTTCCAGTTTTTTCTGAAAGGATCCTGTTTGTCATTTCTAACAGCACAACAGTATTCCATCACAATCACGTAGCACATCTAGTTCCACCATTCCCCAGTCAATGGACATCCCCTCAGTTTCCAGTTGTTTGCCACCACAAAAAGAGCTGCCATAAATGTTTGTGTACAAATAGGTCCTCTTCCCTTTTCTTTAATCTCTTTAGGATACAGACCTAGTGGTGCTATCAGACTAAATGTTTTGAATGCTTTCTGTTTCTGAATGCTCTTCCCCATTGTGGCTTGTCAGTGTTTCACCTAAAAGGTGGCACCTAGAAATGAATTCAGTGCAATAGGCATCCAGTGAGTGCTTCAGTCATGATACTGAACACTGGGGATACAAAAACAAATAAAGAGAAACAGTGGCAACAGCAACAGACTTTGCCTTCGAGAAGCTTGTGTTTTGCCTGAGTGGGGTGGAGGGAGTGCAATATTTAAACACAGTCTGTTGAGAGAGAGAGCAAGGAGGTGGATCAGAGATGCCCCGTGTGGCACGTGGGAGGAAAGTAAAGACTTCAGGACACGAGAGAGAAGAAAAGCTTTCCACACATGAAGGAAAGCCACTGCAAAACCATCAAGATAGAAGATGGGCCAGGCTAGCTAGAATGGAGTGCAGGATGGAAAATCATGTCAAGTAAGTCTAGAAAAGTGTGTTTGAGCCTGGGAAAGGCCTCAGAGGCCAATCTGAATTGGCTGTATTTTCTTCTAGAAGCCACAGGGAGCCACTGGAGGTTTATAAGCAGGATCATGACATGGCCAGACCTGTATTTTAGGGGAATGTCTAGATCTGTTCACCATACTTGAAATGTGATCAAATCAGGGCACAAGACAGTGGAACTAACATTTCCCTCATCTTAGATACTAGGCTTCCGTTGATGCAGTCATAACATCCTATTCTCACACCTTTCTGTGGTGTTGGGGGAGCCCTGACTTCCCAAGGCACAGCAACCTGCCAGAGGAGGGGGCTGGCTCTGACCTGGAGAGAACCTCTGAGAGTGTCCACACCAACCCCCCATTCTATAGAAGAAGAAGCCAAGCCCCATAGAGGGGCAATGATGAGGAAGGCTATGGCCAATAAGCTGGACTTTTCCAATCCAGGGTGGATTGAAGAGGCAGAACAAAGAAAAGAAAAGATACTGCTCAGGTAGAGGGGACGCTCATGGACTCTGCCATCTTACCAGATTTCCAGCCAGCAAAGCAGTGGGCACATTATTTAATCCTTTTAAAATGATACAGTGGGATAATATAAGTGCAATATCAGTACAAGCTATTATTCCACTTTTGAGGACATTGTGCTGAAGTGTTAGCTAAGATGATCTTACACTTTGGTGGCTTTGGAATGATTTGAATGACTAGACCCAAAGAATGAGGTATCAATGAATCAGTGTCATTTGGGAGGGAGGTCTGCAGAGGAGTGGTCCAAGGATCAATCTTTAGCCTGGTCTGGGTCATGTTGCCATTCACCTTGTTAGGAGCATAAATGACGGACATACTGTTACCAAGTTTGTGATGACACGAGCTTGTAACAGTGGCTAACTTACTGGGTGACAGAATCTGATCTCTCACAAGTTCCCGGTAGACTAGGATGATGGCCCAAATTGAATAGAGAGAAATGGATGCATTTTGTACTCGCACAGGTACAAGATGAGGGCCAGCCTATAGCTCATCTGAAAAGTAGCTGGTGGTTGGAGTGGACACAAGGTCAGCAGGAATCAGCAGGAAGATGGGGCAGTCTTAGACAGAGGGTCCACAATAAGGGAGATGGTAAAGTCCCACTCAGACCACATTAGGAGTGTTGTGTTCCATCCTGGGCCCTGCAGCCTGTAGCTTGTCTAGAGGAAAGTTCTGAAGAAGGTAAGAGTCTGGAAACTCTGCCAGATGTGGATTAGTTTAAAGAATTAGGAAGCCAGCATAAGAGAAGTCTTTGGGAGAACATGATGACTGTCTTCAAGTATTTGAAGGCCTGACATGTGGATTTGTTCTGCATGGCCCAAGAGGTCAAAATGAAGAATATTGGTCAGAAGAACAGAAAAGCAGATTCAGGCTTGATGTAAGAACAAAACCTTTCTAAAAGCAAGAGCTAACCAAAAATGGAATCAATGGCCTCAGGAAGTACAGAGGAAGTAGTGAGTTCTCCCTCACTAGAGTTTTTCCACCAAATCTGAATAGCCACTTCCCAGGATTAGTCAGTCACTGAGTCACTGAGCTTCTCTTGGGCACCTTCTTTGTAGCAGGCCCTTGGCTAGGTGCTGGTGAGAGAGATGCTTCCTGTTCAGAAGCAAGGCCTGAACTAAATGGTGTCTGAGGTCTCCTCCAATTCTGAGATTTGGGGATGCAAAGGCAGAGGATGCAGAGCAGTAGTGAGGCATTGTAGGAAGGAGGCAGTGGTACCTGGGAGGAGAGGTGGTTCCCCTGGTGGAGTTTCCTGCTTGTCTACTCCCGGGAGATTCAGGGCTTGGCCACTGAGATGTCATCCCCATAACTTGAGTTACTGTAGTGTGCTCCAGTTTACCCCAGGCTGTCCCTGCATTAGCCCTGGGAGAGAAGGGGGAACAAATACTAATCTCTCTATTTCGTGGATAAAGAAATTGAGGCTTCGAGAGGGATTACCTAGTCTATGTGTATCAGAACCAGGATTCCAGTGCAGCTCCAGGCTTGTTCATAAATCCAAGGTATTTTCTTAAGGAGCTGAATAGATTCACTGGTTTATTTTGGTAGGGAGCCATAGGTAAGTATGTAAAGAGCTGTGTGCAACCCCACCCACCTCTTCCTCCCAATTTGATGAAAATGGATTCTTAGACATGACTTGAGATATTGAGATGGGGGACACTCCTTCATAGTACTCCTGAAATTGCACCCCTGTACTCAGTGCTGTTAGGGTGATGGCCTTTTCCACTGTGGCACAGTTCTGCTTGATAGGAAGGTCTTATGTTGTTTAAATTTGTACCATTTTTGA